AGTTATCCTTCTAATATTTATAATATCTTTTCTTATTGTAAGTAAGAATATCAGTTATATAATATTAAAAAAATGCTTACACAAAAATTTGTTTGTTCTTAAATGAGACTTACAACCTTTTTTTAACATTTGACTAACATTTATAATAAATTTTGAGTAATCATATAAATATATAATAAATATACAAGACATCAAAATTAATTTAATACGTGAAAGAGTTTTAATTGAAATTGGTTTCATGTACCTTCCACAATAAATTATTCTTCATTTCTAAATCTTATTTTAAAATATCTTTTGAAAATTTTTGGATCATGAATCATGTGATCTATAACAATAGTACTCTTTATTTTCAAATGTTTCTCCTCCGCTACTTTTGCTTTTTCTACAACACTAAGCCATTATTAAGATTCTTTAGCATTACACTTGGCTTAGTATATTTGATTTATATATAATAATAATAGCTTATATTTTGATTAAAAGTAATGAAAGTATATAAGTTTTAGGTACAACGTTGGTCTTCAAATTATCTCTTGTAATGGCTAATTTTTCACAACATTATTTTGCACTTGCGATAGTTATTATTATCATTATAATTTTACTCTAAAAGCTTTTTATTTATGAAATCTCTTTCATAATCACTCTTAGGTAATAGATACATTTATTTTTTTATTTTCATCATTCTCACAAAATTTATAGAAAATATTTTAGGATTCTTCTTCATGACTTAAAGAATATCATATGTTTATAATATAAGTGTTTATTATTATATGATAATTGCTTTTATCCTTTTAGATAATTAAGATTTTTATTTATTAATTGAAAAATAAAAAATGTTTAGTTTTTATTTGTGAAATTGAACAAAGACAAGGTAGATTCAACATATACTAAATCTCCATAATGTTAAGATATTGTTCGCGTTAGGTTAAGTCCTCACGGATTTATTTTTTGTACCACTCCAAAAGGCATAATTGTAGGGAGGCTCGACACATACATAAATCTCCACAATGATAAGATATTGTTTGTTTTAGGCTAAGTCCTTACGGATTTACTTTTGATACCACTCCAAAAGGTCTCTTACTAAGAGAGATATCTTATGTGTATATAAACTCATATCTATATATTTTATTCTATATGAGACTTTGTTTGTATCCTAACAAGGTCAGATTTCGACTGATAAATCATTTTACGATCTTGAAATTGAACGAACAATAGTAGGCGAAAGAGATTTTTTAGGGAAGCATAAGAAGCCGTCACTATATTAGAAACATACGAAGATCAAGAAGAAAAAAAGGTAGATATGGTTGTAGAATTTATCTTGGAAGAACTTAAATACATGAAAGAGGTGTGTTTAAGCTTCAAACTCAAAATAATGACTCAACAAATTGAAGCTCTCATAAAGAAATTCTCTACACTGTCTCAAGAGATTGAGAATATTTCTCAAACATAATGTTAACAACAAACAAGTATGTGGGTTGTGTGGAGGAGATCATGCTAATGAGATTTATAATCAATGAAGGAATTATTTAAGATATAAAAATTAAATACACTTTTTAAATTTATATTTATTAACTGATTAAGTAATTAAAAATCATAATAGGAAAAATAATGTATAATAAAAGCAATACTCATTTGCTTAACATAATAGATATGTTCAATAAAAAAATCTTTAATAATGGTTAAAATTTGTGTAAGGATACCGTTTAGAAGAAGGGTTTATTTATCAATTTTAAAAATCAACTTACTTTAAAAGTATTTTTTAAGAATACAATGAATTAAAGTGAACATTTTTAATTTATTATTTAAAATAAATTAACGTAAGATATTCAACTTTTTTATAATAATTAAATATTGATTGACAAAAGAATTTCAACTTTAATTACCAGTAAGTTGTGTAAGAAATTAGAGTGCTAAATAGAAAAAAAGTATAAATCAAAACAAACAACTAAATTGTGTTAGTTATATAAGTAAATTATTTTTTTGATGTATGAAAATTTGTAATATTAAAAATAATTTTGAGTTTTGGTTATATGATATATTTAAGTACTAAATTTATCTGGTTATTTGACATATATTTCTTAACATATTTATCATTATTATTGCTTAAATTAAACTATTAGATATAATTTGAGTTTTAGATATTGATTTAAAAATTTTAAATTTTATAAACTAATGAAATTACTAAAATGAATAAGTGAAAATATAAAATAAAATTTACAATATTATAAAATGTGTTTTTTTATTATATATATATATATATATATATATATATATATATTAAATCTTTGAAATAAACTATTAAATACAATTTTTATAAGAAATTATATGTAGACGTAATTATTTATTATATAATATCAATTTAAGTTTTACATACTAAAATACGAAGAAATTTAATAATAAAAATATCTATACTGTAACTTAATATTAATTAATGTTAATGTAAAACCCTATAAAATGGTATTTTAGGAGTTTAATAATAAAAATATCTATACTGTAACTTAATATTAATTAATGTTAATGTAAAACCCTATAAAATGGTATTTTAGGAGTTGTAATATAAAAATAGCAAGCTCGGTTATTTTAATATTAAATGATTTTATTATAAATAATTTTGTTATAAACGAATTTCATTATTTTAAAACGTATCATCCTTCTAGAAATCATTTTTCTAGAGTTCTCTACCTTTCCTTGAGAGTTATAACTTCTGAGTAGTCTCTTTGATGATTAGGAGGTGTCAAATTGATTACAGCGTCAATGTCTAAAATCTAACCAATCAATTTCAAGAATAGAGCAAGTAAGTTTTAACTCTTTTTTCTCCTTTCGTTCCCAAATCTGTTTTAGAATAATCTTGTACTGTTACATGTGTAATCATGGCTCATCTACACGTTCTTGGTTTATCTAGAGTTTTAAGGACTCTTTCCCTTTTCAATTAGGTGTTTCATGATTCGTATAGGTTTTTCCTTACGGTTCAAGTAATCTGCGAAGCATTCTTTGAGTTGGGACTGTTGCTTCTTAGGTAAGGGAAGTTAGACCTTGTCTTATCTGTGATTGTAGTGTAAATTTAGTATTTCTGTAATGTTGTGATATGATTATGATGTATGTTTATTATGTGTGTAATAGAAAGTAGTGATGAAATGTTTATTATATTATGATAAACTGTTTTATCACTATCTTACCCTTGCTTCTGTGTTGTTTTCTCTTTGCAATGATCACCTTAATGGTGTAAGCTTAGGGATACAGTCTTTTCAGTTGTTCCTATAAGAGAGGTGATGGTGAAGAAGTGGGAAAGTCAGATGATTCTATATGTGTATATCTTGTCATTCATAGATTTGTTTTATTGTAGTGGTTTTATTATCTTATATGTAATATTTATTTTAGTAATATTTTACTATTAAAAATGGGATATGACAATTAATATGTTTTATTGTTGATAATTTTTTGAGATAAAATTATTGTTATTTTTATTTGGTATTATTTTACAAAATAAAATTAAAAAATATTTTTTAGATTTAATTTTATTAAGTTAATAAGTAATGAAATATCATTAAAGAAAAAAAGTAACGTAGAAAAAAATAATTAATATAATAAAAATATCAAATGAAAAAACAATTAACAATTGAGACAATTATCAATATGGATAAGAATGTAACTTTCTTAAAATCCTCTTTATTATATTATAATAAATAATAAATTTTAGTTTAGTTTATAGTTAATAAATAATAGATAATAGATAATTGATTAACAAAACAACTCCATGTACATGTGAATTAGTTTAAAAACAAAATAAATGAATAAAAAGATAAATTAAATTATATACACATATGACAAAAAATAAATATAAATAAAAAACTTAGAAAATAAAATAAATGAATAAAATAAAATAAAATAATGTGGTAACCAAATAAATATAAATAAAAAAGAAACTAAAAAATAAAATAAATAAATAAACTGTAAAATAATTTTCATATGTGAGCGAAAAATAAATATAAACAAAAAAATATAAAATATAATAAATTATAAAGGGTATTAAATTAAAATTTTTAGTATTTTTTTATATTATCATAGATAATAGATACTTTTATAGACATGTGACAACAACAATAAACATTAAAAAGTTAAAAATTTAATAAATAGATAAAAATATAAAATAACGTCCATCATGTCATGTATATGTGACAACAAAACAAATATAAATTAATAAAAATTAAAAATATCAAATGACTAAAAAATTAATTTTTAAGATACTTATCAATAAAATAAAATGGATAAAAAAGTAAATTTGTTAATATCTTCTTTTTCATATATTATAATAAATATAATAAATATAATAAATAAAAAAGTAAAACAATTCCATACATATTTGACAAAGAAATAAAAATAAATAAAATAATTAGAAATATCAAATGACTAAAAATCTAACTTAAAAATACTTGTAAAAAAAAATAATAAAATAAATTTATTAGTATTTATTTTCCATATATTATAATAGATTTATGTAATCATCCAACTGTTCAATTAAAAAAGAAAGAAAAAAAACTTAATATAGAATGGATGATTATTGTATATGTTTAAGCCAAATAATTTTAATTAATTATAACTACTCACCAAATAATATTTAATTGCATAGAAAGGCAAGTAATTTAAGCATGTTTAAACTGCAAATTAAGAATACCCCTTGAAAAGATTAAGTACATGTCTACTTTTTTTGAAAGTTAAATATAAATGCACGATCACGCTTAAGGCTAACTTATTATAAATAGTATGTATTTATTTATAATATAAGATTTTAAAAATCAAATAAAAAGCAAATTAAATGAACCAAAATGAAAACATGGTTGAACTGAAAAGTCAGAGTAGGAATGTTGAGTGGGCCAGTGGCCATGTGACCGCAACTTGTGAGAGACGCAAACCAGATAAGCAACAGATAAAGTAACCAAATAAAGAAAATGAAAAACAAAAGCACAAAAAACACATGTTTCATTAAAAAGTGGGCAACATTGATGGTTTGTCACGCCTCATGTTACAGGAAGGTACTTTGCTTTTCTCCAAGCGTTGAAAATTCCCAGACACGTTTCCCCAAATATCCATCTCTTCCTTCCTCCTTCATATTTTCCCTTCCCACCTTCTGATCTCTCTCTAGTTTTTCTCCCAACAATGGGTGGTTCTGTCACTGTCAAGTCCGAGGTTTCCCTTCTAGAATCTTCTCCCTCTCCTGTGGAGAAACCTGAAGGAGTTTGTTCCAACATAGATGAACACCACCTGGTCCAACCCAATATGAATGACTCCTCAACCAACAAGTACGTTGCCAATAACTCTTTTGTCTTGCTTTCTTTGGATAAACACACACACACTCTCCTCACAAAGTTCCTTCCTTTTTTGTTTTTTCTTCAATTTGTTGTATTTTTGCAATTATCCTTTTATGATCTAGGGCAATTTTTTTTTTGTGTGTGGAGGCTGATATGCCATGGATGAAGGATAAAATAGTGGTTTTGTTTGTGTTAGGAAGAGGGTTTCCGTATGTGTGAGGTGAGACAGAGGACCCATATGCGTTTAGGTCATATGTTGGCATTTTATTGATGAATATCTAAAAAATAATTAGAGTATTTTGTGTTGACTGGAAAGGGGTATTGTTTGGTGCTGGAGATTTGTGTGATTGGAAAAAGTTACGGTAGGAGATGAGCCTTTCGATTGTACTGGCAGGTTGAACCCTACCTTACTTTTTTTGATGAACTGAGAGAACTTTTTAATTGGACCCATCTTCTAGATTGGTTAAGTTATGTGTGCCAAGAAAGCTTTGGGGGTTTCATTTGGGTGATATTTTTTGTCCTTTGCAAGAATGAAACTCTGGGAATTGGAAGAGGGAATATTTTCTTGGGCATAGCAACCTAACCTTATTCTGTCAGGTGGAATCTGCTATCTAGATCAATTTGTACTGCTTGACTCTATCAAAAACTGATTTTTCATGGAAGAATTTGACATTTGATCATGATTAATGTTTTTTCTTCAAGTTTTGTTTGATCTACTTTACTAATTGGAACCTCTGCTCATCCTCTCTCACAGAATCAAACCATCCCACCTGAAGCAATTTTCTGTGTTCTCCTAAGCAGGCGCTGTTCCATTTTTCTGTCAGATGTATTCGTTGCTAGAATTCTAGTCTTATCTTTTCTTTTGTTATTCACTCATTTAGCTTAATTCTATTATATTCGCCGCACGTGTTATATCATAAATTTTTGTTCTCTAGGTTGGAAAATTTTGACTAAACACTCAGCACTGTAGAGTGTTGTTGTTTTCTTCAACTGTCTTGTAGAAGTTTTGCTTTGACTACGATAGGTACTTTATTATCATGAATTATACCTGAAACATTTCTTCACTTAACCCGTCTGGCTTGAATTATATGAGGTCTCAATCAATCACCCAATCACTTTGAAAGTAGACCTAAAATACCTACTTATGGAACTTTTTTATATTATATGATTTAAGATCTTCAATTTTCTCCATAGGCCAACCCATCCATTGTATTTTTGAACTTGCGTCTCAATTTGACCCACTGTTTAATCAATAACCCTTTGATTTCAAAGCATCTTTGCTTCTCAAGTACAACATTTCCTCTTTCTGAGCTTCTTTCGAGTATAAATTTTCTCAGCATCTTTTTGTCGTTTTTTCCCCTAATTTTGGAATGAACATAAAAGTTATGGAGTATTTTAAAGTATGCTGAATTATATCATAAAAACATTCTAACGATTCTGAAAACATCAAGCAAATGTCCTCTTATTTCTAAGTAAATGAGTTGGAGCTATTTTATTGTTCACTAGAGACTCATTTTGAAGTCAATGCCTATTTTAGTTTAAAAAATCCTTCTTGCATTTATTTTTTCAATGGATAATGGATGGATTCATTTGGAAAGAGAGCATTCTGCATATTTGACTTAATGCCTTTTCAATTTACTATTTGAAAATCCTTGCAGGGAAAATATGATACATCGCCTTCTCTGTCAATTTGAATACAAAATAAAAATCCTTATATATATAAAAAAATCCTAGGAAGCAATAGGGATTTAACCTATGTTATTAGATAATCTAAAGATACAGGCCTCAAATCGTCTCCCTATTTCTTCTTGTGTTTTAGTCACACATTGTTTCCCAGCAGAATACCCTTTTCGTTTGGATAAACTTAAAGCATAGCAAATTTTTCGATGCTTTAATTGATGAAATTCATCTGCACCTACATTCTGTTAAGGTGCAATTGAAAGGCTTTAATGTGCATCACCCTTTCTTAACAAGGGTGGTACTAAAGCCTATTGATATGTGTATTAACTATTACGGCTTTGAAATCGAACCCAGAGTCAAAGGCTTCCTAGCTAACTGCAATGTTGTTCAGCAACAATTATTAATACTCGTATTTAAGCTAGTATTTGGTTCAGCTTGTGAGAAAGAGACTTTGATTTTCATAGCTTCTTGAAGGAGCTTTTAAAAAAGAACCATTTCCGTTTGAGAAAAACTAAAAAACATGCACTTATACTAATCTGTCTGGAGTTCAATTAAAAAAATTAATTCTTGACACATCTCTTGATAAAAGCTTATCACCATTATTAGGGATGATTCTGGGAAGTCTAATATGAAATTTCCATCAAGTTCATTCTAACCAATGCATTTACATTGTGTTTGTGTTCGGTTGTATATTTATTTTCTATTATTTCTCTTTTAGGTCAGTGCCAGCGTCTGGACTTAATGCAGTGATTCCTAGTACGAACCAGCTTACCATCTTCTACAATGGGAGTGTTTGTGTCTATGATGGAATCCCTGCAGAAAAGGTATGGCCTTGCTGCACTTTTACATTACAAATGAATTTTGTAGCTATGTGCCTTTAATCCAGTCTGTAACTTCACATGTTATGATGCCGTCCTAATCATCGTTTTCTATACAAACAGGTGCATGAAATAATGCTTATTGCTGCTGCTGCTGCCAAGTCTACTGAAGTGAAGAAGATTGGGACCCAATCTACCCTCATTTCACCTGTTCCCACAAGGCCTTCTTCTCCACATGCAATCACCAACAATATTGCTGCCTCACAGACAAATTCCATCTGCAGGCTGCAAGGTGATGATTTTCCTATTTTCATTCTAGATATAGAGATGCTAGTCTTAAATAATTGTCTTTTTATAATTTACCATATAGCAGTTGCATTGTCTTATATTTTAATGTGACAAACATTCAAATCTCTTTTGGCTTTTTGCATCATCTTTCTCTAGAATTTCCAATAGCTCGCAGGCATTCACTTCAAAGGTTTCTTGAGAAGCGGCGAGATAGGTACTATCTACCTGCCATGTTTAATGGGGGTTTCTAATATTTGTTCAGTTTAGAGACTCCTATTTTATTTATGGTCTTATTAGTATAATTTTTTTGGTTAAAGGCTGGGTAGCAAAGCTCCTTATCCTTCCTCATCAACCACTAAAGTGGCTGATAACATAGAGAACAACTTCTGTGCTGACAATGCCCCAGAACTGGTTTCCTTGAATCGAGCAGAGGAGGAATTTCATCCAACTGTCTCTGCCTCTTGAGCTACTAGTGTTTGTTCTATGTTATTTCCTGTGATACTGTGGTAGATCATATATTTGCATGTAGAATCACATATACTGATATAATTATATCGTTAGGTTCTGAAGTCTATAAATGTGTTTTATATGTAACATAGCTATGTAACAGCTATTGAACCTGAAATGGTTTGTAACAGTGTTTGTATCTGTGCACGTTAGGAAGTATGGTTTGTGTTCTGATCACCCTATATTAAACTGTTCCTGTATTTGATTATGTGGACAACTGATTATCTATTATGTTGATGTTCCACTTCTATTTTTATGACATCTCTCAGCTTTTAATCCTTCACGTTTGTTCGTTGTGGAAAAGAATTGTAATTCAGTGGAAATTTTCTTGAAGTAGCTAAACAAGATGAATTTGATGGTTCTTGATTTTTTTTAATGTCATACAATCTTTGCAAAACGAAGAATCTATTTATGAGCTTGCTAGTGTAGTTGTGAGGACATTTGAAAACTTCTATAAGGTGGAGTATGATAACATTTTTGAGGTTAATGTGCTTGGTTATTGGATTTCACATTTTAAGAAGACAAGACAAGAAAAGTAACATGTTTCACACGAAAGTGAACTCTTATCCAAAACTGTTACGAGAAAATCTAAATATGTAAATATAAATGTAGTTTTATACCTAATTTGAAAGGATTTTAGTTACAAGCTTTTAAGTTACTCATATTAATATTAGTTGTGCCTTTTGTCCGCAGGTTTATTTTAACACGGCAAAAGAGAGTCGATTTTAATACCAGTGCATGTATTTAAAGTGTCATATTTACGAAATATGTAAAAAAAAAAATTTCAAATGATAAAAATTTTAAAATAAAAGTAATGAGTTTGCGAAGTCATGCGAGGTTCTTAATGTTTTAATTTAAAATTTTCTTTGACTTATGAACGAATTAGTTTAGAATACGCACCGTCCTTTCAAGGAAAAAACTTAAATTACGATAACTTCGATAAAAATAAATTATTAGGATGAAAACAAATAGGAGAAATGAATGAAATGTAGAGAAAGAAAAGATGAAATAGAAAATTTATCAATTCATACAAGTTTCAGGCTTTTAAAACAGTACATTCACTTCTATCTGAACTTTGATTCACCCAAAAACAGTATTGCACTCTTAATAAAATTTAGGAAGGTAATTTTTCAAAATGTTGTGAAACACTTTTTTATTCAAATCAAGTCAAGGGTCTGTAGGTACATTTAAGTACAAATCCATATTCAAAATACCTCCAGATAGTTTCTACTATCTTTGAAGCATTATCATCCTCTATTCCAAGTTTCATAGAATTTTTGGTTCTTATCACATGTTTGAAAAATCGATTCACTACTCTATTAGTAATTGCAAAAGCCTAGTACCAATGAAAAAAAAAACTAAAATATAATAAAACATAAATATTTATCTTTAAATTAAAACAAACTCATCAGTGCAAATTTAGGTGGGAGTATTTAGTAGACAAATTAAATAATTAAAAGTTGAAGTCGATGCAAAGATATCACTGCTATAAAAAGGAACAAACTTTTGTATAAATATTGTGACAGATGAAAAGAGAAGGGAGTATGATTTATACAACATGTTCAGTTAATTTTGCATAAATTTAAGTAATAACTATTTTGATGATTATTCCTCTGCAAGATGCAGCATCCAGTGTGATGTTGGATGTGAGGGGCAAGTAATAAACCAAGTCAGTTTAAGCAGAAGTTGACAAAAAGGGTACTGGGATTTCATTTAACACTGGCTAGGCCTAGTTATATCTTCAGAAATTCAGATTACATGTCTTCTTTAACAGTATACTTATAGCTTGAAATGATTGAGTCTATTTCCAGTTTCTTGCTTTGGCTTTTTATAAATAGATTGCTGCTTTCTGTCAGCTTCTAAATATCACATGTTGTCCAAAACTTTTATGCTTGTAAGAGTTGATCACTATATAATCATTATCAACATTTATGACTAGATGTAACAGTCTTCAAGTAAAAAGAAACTGATGAATGAATAAGAGCCATTGTGATCATATCTAAGTAGCTGGAAATGAGGAAAATGTCATTATAAAGAATTGTTGAAACCTCCGGTTACAAATTGAAACAGGAAATACAAAGGACAGGGACTACTTCATTTAGAAATCTAGGCCTTGTTCACGAGCTGCTTCAGCAAGTGCTTGAACACGGCCATGGTATGGGTATCCCCCTCGATCAAAGGCTACCTTAGTGATCCCCTTCTCCAAACAGGACTTTGCAATGATCTCACCCATCCTTTTTGCTACTTCCTGAAACCAAAAAATTCAAAGGGTCAGGACCATCATGCAGTACACAGCTTATGGAGTTACAGGAGTATTATTCTTCTGAGGAAACCATGAAAAATCCACTGTTGGGTAGAAGCTTTGGCTTGACATTTTGCATCATGGTTTTAGTATATACATTAAAAAATCTGAGAAAAATAATGAAACAATATGTACCTGATGGTCAGTTAAAAGTAATGTGTTAGTATCACCACGAAACTGGAGATGAACTTATAGATGTAAATTGTTTCTTTCTTCTATAGTTATATAGAATGTTGTGAACCAAATAAAAACAAAGCAATTAAAATGGCATGGAGAAAGTACATAGTCATCAGAGATTCAGAGGTAACTTATGCAAGAATCCATTTCCAGAAACTCATTACCAAACCAATTCAAAGATTGACAATAGAACATTCAACTGCAACTGATGTAGCTGACTTACAATGATTACTACAAAGGACACATGCATACTTATACTCAAGAACCCAAGGATTCCTTCTTCTTCATGTGATTTTTGTTTCCCTTAGTAATTGGCAAGAGAAAAATCTTCAGGAATATGTTCACACAATGAAGTTGGGGTCCTTCCGTGGTATTTTTTAATGGTACAGTTTCTACAATATGACACTTGGAATTTATATCCAGGAAAAGATCTTGTAGCTAACATTAAAAGGCATTCTATCCAGTTTATTAATAAACAGAGAGAAAGAAAATTAACGACAACTGCAATGACTTATGACAACATGAAGTCAATTGTAATACATCATTCTTGCAATTGTAAATACCCAAACGTTCATAACTCAATTTTAAGTTAATAGACAGTTACTTCGTAATATTTCTAACAGCATACTATGAAACACAAGAATTTTGACCCCTCCCCCTGTTAGACATATCATCAAGTACCTGTTCAGTACCACAACACAATAACTGTTTTTTGCCTCCAAAACATTTAAAATCGCCACTTTTCATTCTTGCATTTTCTTAATACCAAAATTTTCATCGCTCAGGCTAATCCCTTTAAGTTACTAGACAGTTACTATGCAATCATTCTAACAAACACCCTAGCCATGAAACACACGGATTCTATCCCACTCCCCCAGTTAGACACATATCAAGAAGTAATTCTACAGCAACATATCATAGTTATACAAAAGGATGAAAGTTCCGGTATGTAAAAAATGCAGAGACAAAAAAGGGGGTTTTCAAAGTCAAGGGCAGAAACAAAAATTTATCAATTTGGATACCATTTGGGTCATCGTATTCGAGGTATTGTTCCTAAGGGGCAAGAGTGTCCTACCTTAATGTTCAAGTCCATTGGACATGTCAGAGTAAAAGTTTGGAAGGTAATAAAACCAGTCTTTCAATACGAAAATGGGAAATTTATTAATTTCCTAGCCAATGTCGAACACATTAGGTAGCAACAAAATCAAAACAGCATGTAACACACAATCAAAAGAACTCACAACTGTGGGGCCAGCTGAGTAATTAAACTCTTCAGCAAAGGTCTTCTGCATTGTGGAAGCCGAAGCAAGCGTGTGCATCGAGGAATCATCAATCACCTGCACAGAGAGGTGCTTGTTGGATCGGAACACCGACAACCTCGGCCTCTCGGGTGTCCCTTCAACCTGACAAAGAAAAGGCTTTAACTTTAGAGAATGAAAGCCGAAACCGGGGAAAGTGAGCGAGTGAATGAACCTTCTTTCTGATGCGAGTGTGGCGCGCAGTTCTGTCTTCCCTTCGGGTCCTAACTTTGGCTTCAACCACGAAAGTTTTGGGGTTTGATTGTGATAGTGTGGATAAGGAAGAGGAAGAAGAAGAAGCGGAAGAAGGGAATCCGCAGGAATGAAGGAAGGAAAGAGAAGAAGCTAACATTGTTTCCAACTTTACAGTGATGACAGACACCAATGTTTCTCCGGTTTATCGTCACCTTATCCTTCTGCCACATTCACTTCACCTCCGTTTTTCTTTTCAAGCGTCTACTTCGTTTTTTTTTTTNTGTTTAATGGGGGTTTCTAATATTTGTTCAGTTTAGAGACTCCTATTTTATTTATGGTCTTATTAGTATAATTTTTTTGGTTAAAGGCTGGGTAGCAAAGCTCCTTATCCTTCCTCATCAACCACTAAAGTGGCTGATAACATAGAGAACAACTTCTGTGCTGACAATGCCCCAGAACTGGTTTCCTTGAATCGAGCAGAGGAGGAATTTCATCCAACTGTCTCTGCCTCTTGAGCTACTAGTGTTTGTTCTATGTTATCTCCTGTGATACTGTGGAAGATCATATATTTGCATGTAGAATCACATATACTGATATAATTATATCGTTAGGTTCTGAAGTCTATAAATGTGTTTTATATGTAACATAGCTATGTAACAGCTATTGAACCTGAAATGGTTTGTAACAGTGTTTGTATCTGTGCACGTTAGGAAGTATGGTTTGTGTTCTGATCACCCTATATTAAACTGTTCCTGTATTTGATTATGTGGACAACTGATTATCTATTATGTTGATGTTCCACTTCTATTTTTATGACATCTCTCAGCTTTTAATCCTTCACGTTTGTTCGTTGTGGAAAAGAATTGTAATTCAGTGGAAATTTTCTTGAAGTAGCTAAACAAGATGAATTTGATGGTTCTTGATTTTTTTTAATGTCATACAATCTTTGCAAAACGAAGAATCTATTTATGAGCTTGCTAGTGTAGTTGTGAGGACATTCGAAAACTTCTATAAGGTGGAGTATGATAACATTTTTGAGGTTAATGTGCTTGGTTATCGGATTTCACATTTTAAGAAGACAAGACAAGAAAAGTAACATGTTTCACACGAAAGTGAACTCTTATCCAAAACTGTTACGAGAAAATCTAAATATGTAAATATAAATGTAGTTTTATACCTAATTTGAAAGGATTTTAGTTACAAGCTTTTAAGTTACTCATATTAATATTAGTTGTGCCTTTTGTCCGCAGGTTTATTTTAACACGGCAAAAGAGAGTCGATTTTAATACCAGTGCATGTATTTAAAGTGTCATATTTACGAAATATGTAAAAAAAAAAATTTCAAATGATAAAAATTTTAAAATAAAAGTAATGAGTTTGCGAAGTCATGCGAGGTTCTTAATGTTTTAATTTAAAATTTTCTTTGACTTATGAACGAATTAGTTTAGAATACGCACCGTCCTTTCAAGGAAAAAACTTAAATTACGATAACTTCGATAAAAATAAATTATTAGGATGAAAACAAATAGGAGAAATGAATGAAATGTAGAGAAAGAAAAGATGAAATAGAAAATTTATCAATTCATACAAGTTTCAGGCTTTTAAAACAGTACATTCACTTCTATCTGAACTTTGATTCACCCAAAAACAGTATTGCACTCTTAATAAAATTTAGGAAGGTAATTTTTCAAAATGTTGTGAAACACTTTTTTATTCAAATCAAGTCAAGGGTCTGTAGGTACATTTAAGTACAAATCCATATTCAAAATACCTCCAGATAGTTTCTACTATCTTTGAAGCATTATCATCCTCTATTCCAAGTTTCATAGAATTTTTGGTTCTTATCACATGTTTGAAAAATCGATTCACTACTCTATTAGTAATTGCAAAAGCCTAGTACCAATGAAAAAAAAAACTAAAATATAATAAAACATAAATATTTATCTTTAAATTAAAACAAACTCATCAGTGCAAATTTAGGTGGGAGTATTTAGTAGACAAATTAAATAATTAAAAGTTGAAGTCGATGCAAAGATATCACTGCTATAAAAAGGAACAAACTTTTGTATAAATATTGTGACAGATGAAAAGAGAAGGGAGTATGATTTATACAACATGTTCAGTTAATTTTGCATAAATTTAAGTAATAACTATTTTGATGATTATTCCTCTGCAAGATGCAGCATCCAGTGTGATGTTGGATGTGAGGGGCAAGTAATAAACCAAGTCAGTTTAAGCAGAAGTTGACAAAAAGGGTACTGGGATTTCATTTAACACTGGCTAGGCCTAGTTATATCTTCAGAAATTCAGATTACATGTCTTCTTTAACAGTATACTTATAGCTTGAAATGATTGAGTCTATTTCCAGTTTCTTGCTTTGGCTTTTTATAAATAGATTGCTGCTTTCTGTCAGCTTCTAAATATCACATGTTGTCCAAAACTTTTATGCTTGTAAGAGTTGAACACTATATAATCATTATCAACATTTATGACTAGATGTAACAGTCTTCAAGTAAAAAGAAACTGATGAATGAATAAGAGCCATTGTGATCATATCTAAGTAGCTGGAAATGAGGAAAATGTCATTATAAAGAATTGTTGAAACCTCCGGTTACAAATTGAAACAGGAAATACAAAGGACAGGGACTACTTCATTTAGAAATCTAGGCCGTGTTCACGAGCTGCTTCAGCAAGTGCTTGAACACGGCCATGGTATGGGTATCCCCCTCGATCAAAGGCTACCTTAGTGATCCCCTTCTCCAAACAGGACTTTGCAATGATCTCACCCATCCTTTTTGCTACTTCCTGAAACCAAAAAATTCAAAGGGTCAGGACCATCATGCAGTACACAGCTTATGGAGTTACAGGAGTATTATTCTTCTGAGGAAACCATGAAAAATCCACTGTTGGGTAGAAGCTTTGGCTTGACATTTTGCATCATGGTTTTAGTATATACATTAAAAAATCTGAGAAAAATAATGAAACAATATGTACCTGATGGTCAGTTAAAAGTAATGTGTTAGTATCACCACGAAACTGGAGATGAACTTATAGATGTAAATTGTTTCTTTCTTCTATAGTTATATAGAATGTTGTGAACCAAATAAAAACAAAGCAATTAAAATGGCATGGAGAAAGTACATAGTCATCAGAGATTCAGAGGTAACTTATGCAAGAATCCATTTCCAGAAACTCATTACCAAACCAATTCAAAGATTGACAATAGAACATTCAACTGCAACTGATGTAGCTGACTTACAATGATTACTACAAAGGACACATGCATACTTATACTCAAGAACCCAAGGATTCCTTCTTCTTCATGTGATTTTTGTTTCCCTTAGTAATTGGCAAGAGAAAAATCTTCAGGAATATGTTCACACAATGAAGTTGGGGTCCTTCCGTGGTATTTTTTAATGGTACAGTTTCTACAATATGACACTTGGAATTTATATCCAGGAAAAGATCTTGTAGCTAACATTAAAAGGCATTCTATCCAGTTTATTAATAAACAGAGAGAAAGAAAATTAACGACAACTGCAATGACTTATGACAACATGAAGTCAATTGTAATACATCATTCTTGCAATTGTAAATACCCAAACGTTCATAACTCAATTTTAAGTTAATAGACAGTTACTTCGTAATATTTCTAACAGCATACTATGAAACACAAGAATTTTGACCCCTCCCCCTGTTAGACATATCATCAAGTACCTGTTCAGTACCACAACACAATAACTGTTTTTTGCCTCCAAAACATTTAAAATCGCCACTTTTCATTCTTGCATTTTCTTAATACCAAAATTTTCATCGCTCAGGCTAATCCCTTTAAGTTACTAGACAGTTACTATGCAATCATTCTAACAAACACCCTAGCCATGAAACACACGGATTCTATCCCACTCCCCCAGTTAGACACATATCAAGAAGTAATTCTACAGCAACATATCATAGTTATACAAAAGGATGAAAGTTCCGGTATGTAAAAAATGCAGAGACAAAAAAGGGGGTTTTCAAAGTCAAGGGCAGAAACAAAAAATTATCAATTTGGATACCATTTGGGTCATCGTATTCGAGGTATTGTTCCTAAGGGGCAAGAGTGGCCTACCTTAATGTTCAAGTCCATTGGACATGTCAGAGTAAAAGTTTGGAAGGTAATAAAACCAGTCTTTCAATACGAAAATGGGAAATTTATTAATTTCCTAGCCAATGTCGAACACATTAGGTAGCAACAAAATCAAAACAGCATGTAACACACAATCAAAAGAACTCACAACTGTGGGGCCAGCTGAGTAATTAAACTCTTCAGCAAAGGTCTTCTGCATTGTGGAAGCCGAAGCAAGCGTGTGCATCGAGGAATCATCAATCACCTGCACAGAGAGGTGCTTGTTGGATCGGAACACCGACAACCTCGGCCTCTCGGGTGTCCCTTCAACCTGACAAAGAAAAGGCTTTAACTTTAGAGAATGAAAGCCGAAACCGGGGAAAGTGAGCGAGTGAATGAACCTTCTTTCTGATGCGAGTGTGGCGCGCAGTTCTGTCTTCCCTTCGGGTCCTAACTTTGGCTTCAACCACGAAAGTTTTGGGGTTTGATTGTGATAGTGTGGATAAGGAAGAGGAAGAAGAAGAAGCGGAAGAAGGGAATCCGCAGGAATGAAGGAAGGAAAGAGAAGAAGCTAACATTGTTTCCAACTTTACAGTGATGACAGACACCAATGTTTCTCCGGTTTATCGTCACCTTATCCTTCTGCCACATTCACTTCACCTCCGTTTTTCTTTTCAAGCGTCTACTTCGTTTTTTTTTTTTTAATTATTTGTTAGATTTTCTGAATTATTTTGTTTTTTATTAGGTTTTTCAAATGTGTTTTCTAGTTGATTCTTTGAATTTGATTTTAAATTCAAACCTTATGTATAATTCTTGATAGTAAAAAGAAAACTATAATAATATCTCCTAAAACTTTCTCAAATTATAGTTATATTTTTTTTTTGTTATAATGGTCTTTCTTGTCGAACTATAAATATAAAGCTTTTAAATGTCGAGAATATGATGTTTTTAAAACAAAGGTTTGTATAGAATTTGAAGAGTTGATTAAATAAGTTTCTTCACCATAAAAATGACTTGTTTTAAATTGGTAATTTTAAAAGTCTTCTTAGGTTTTTTAACACGTAATATTTAATAAATAAAATAGTTTGGTGATAACAATGTGTAAATTGAACTAATGATATCTGTAATCAGCAAATTTCGTCTCGATAAATAAAATTTATTTTTTAAAAACTATAAAAATAAGTAGTTAAAAATTTTCAAATATAAATAACAAATAAAAAATGATAAAGTAAAGTTTTTTTTCAAATAAAATTAATCAGTTTTTTCATTTAAAATTACAAAATTTAATCGAAAGATTAAGTTAATAAAATGAAATAGAAAATTTCCTTTTAAAATTATATAAGATGAAAAAATAAATCATAGAAGTAATTAAAAATAAAAACAAACAAAATGAACAAAAAACGAGGAAAGAGAAAAAAGAAAACAAGAAACTGACCCAGCTTTTCTAAAAAATGTTAAAGGGAAAGTTGATATCCGTGAACATCCGTTCAAGGATTAACGGATATGAAAATCCGTTTTGAGCTTTTCATATCTCTTTTAAACATGGTAGTTACCTTTTCAACGAGGGACAATTATGGAATTGAGGTGGTGGAGGAAGAAGTTGGGTGGTGTCTCAGGGTTTTAATATTCACAGCACCTAACTTTTCTTGTGTTACACCTTTTATTATTATGCTAGAAGCCCAATACATTTTGTTCATCACCATTCATAGAGACACCGATTATCTTTCTATCTTCACCTCCATTTTTCTTCTCCACACCATTCCTCCCTAATCTCCATCTTCCATTTTCACACTCATCTTCAATTTCCATCACGCTATTCCAGATTCTATAATCAATTTCAAATTTTCTCACCACTCAAACTCTTCATACAAACAAATTCTTCATGTGGATGTTATCGGGTATTAATACATTTTTTTCAACACGTAACCCACTCCCCAACTTAATTTAATTTTACTAACCATTTTTTTAAAAACTTTTCTTTTAATTTTTCTTAATAACTGTGATCGTGATTCTTTATATATTTTTTTATTTTTTTTCTTCGTCGTGATTCCGTTTCATAATTTTTTAATATTTAATAAATATATTAGTTTGATGATAACAATTTGTAAATTGAATTAATTATGAGTATATATAATCATCATTCTAGATGATTTGAGATAATAAAATATATTAAATAAATTTAAAATTATTTAAAAAACACGTGTTAAAGTTTTAGGGTAGATATTTTCACATAAATTCATCTTGTGGTATCCCACTTTCTAAAGCAGACTTTGAGTTCTTTTAAGAAAGTTAATTGTCTGGATATTAAAATATTAAAGAATATTTATAATGCAAGGATATTAAAATATTACCGACAATTCTAATATTGCATTTTCTTACGGAAAAGAAAAAAACTAGCTGCATTTGACACGATTAATTAAAAAGATGTTCTGCTTTATGTGAAATGTAAGCATATGTATGAAGTAGGTGCCTTTTTAGTAAGAAGACAAAAAAACTGTAACAAGGATTGACTTTAAGTTGTTAATGACCAAGCTATTACCAAAATACATATTAAAAGAGTCAAAGAATGATAACTAAATTGATTTGGTGCTTGAAATTTAATTAAGAAATTAATTAAGACATAACAATAGAGTATATGAAAGATGAATGTATTCCATTTATTTATTGAGGGAAATGATGCATATAAATTTCATCATGTTTAGAATGGAGGACGCGTTTGTAAGGTTTGTTTTGTTTGTGCTATATTTGACCAAATCCCCATTCAAACTGGTGAGGCGCGGCGGCTCGCCAACAAGGTGGCCCATGGAATCCTATATTTCTCAACAACTTCACTATGATTTTATTTCCTTATTCATTAAGATTATTTCTTTTTTCTATTAATCTTCACTCCAATTTAGGAATAACCTTACCTAAATCAAAATCTTCTAATACAAACTAAAATTTAAAATGGTGTTCGTCATTCAGTAGCCTTTGCATTTAGTATCCAACAATGCACTAATTAACTATCTAAATGTCATGTTCTTTTATAGAAAACTTATTAGAAAGATATTTTAAATTATGATTTAAACTCAACTTACATAATATATAAGATATGAGTAACACTCTCAATCCAAAAAATAGTAAAATAATGTGTTTATAAATATCTTGCTAGTTCTTTAACATTTGTTCATCAAAGAGAGAATAAGAAAATTATTATAAAAATGAAAAGTTGACAATAAGTGTCTTGGGTGTATAGTTGTATGTCATTTGCAGGTTTGCAATTTTATTTAAAAAAATTGTATGAGAAGGTTGCAATTTTTGGCAGAAAATTTACTAAACATGGATTGCAATTTTGCTAGAAGAATTGCTCGATATGATTTGCAATTTTTGTTAAAGAAACTATATGAGATGGTTTAGTTTTTGTTAGAAACTTTATGTTTGATAAAAAATTACATGTTGATTAATAATATTTTTGCTAAGTATTTATGGATACAGGTCATGAGGTGTCAAACAATGTAAAATTTATTGTGTGCTTTTATTTAAATTTATGTTTTTATTTGTATATGTATTTTTACTTGAAGAAATTATTTTTTTATTGCGTGATTCCAAACAATTATATAAGAGTTAATCATTATTTTTTGTGATGACTCATACAGTATAATTTTTGTATTTGAAGTCTTTCTTACAAAGAGTTTATGTAAGCTAGTCTCGTTTACATGTGGTATGAAATAGATGCTTGTGGTTGAAAATACTTATGTTCAAGGAAAAATGTACTAAAGTGGAAGAGATTCATCCTTGAGGGAGAGATGATTGGGAAACCAAGTGAGTCTAAGTCTCACATTTAGATTGAAATGAGAAAGTCCAATAACATAAACTCATTGTTGTTTTGGGTTGAATGTGGTGTAAATCACTTATGTGATTAGACTCAAGTCTCATTGATATTATGTTAATTATCCCCTCAAAAGACTCCTTCGTTATATTAGAATCAAGTTCTAATCAATGGAGGAAGAGGAGTAGATTGACATGGTAACCAAAATCAAAACATTATGTGCTATATCTTTGGAGAGATGTTAAACTTGATAACTTTTTTTATGTATGGTTAGGTCTGACTTAACCGAGAGAGTTAGTGATGAATTCTTTTTGATTATCGATGAATTGTTAATGATAATAATGTAAAAGTTGTTATAATGAATATAACAGTAAAAACTTGTTACTATCAATAAATTTGTGCATATCACCGATAATATTTTTCGTTCAAAAAATTATATGAAAAAATCCGTAATTTTTGTAAAAAAAAATTCTTTAGTTTAAAAGTTTTTGTCAAAAGAATTATATATGAGATGGTTTGCAAGTGAAATGCAAAATATTTGAAAATTGTCAAATTTTAAAAAAGAGTTACATGTCGAAATTATTTTCTTATTACAATATTCCTAGCATTTCTTTGTTATATAAACTCAACATTTTTATTTTAACCTCATGTGCAACTTAAACTTAAACTTTTAGAATTTTCAATAAAGCATAAGCTAGTTATAGATACGTATCAATCCACTTAAACATGTCTTACATTAAATTGGACATTTTTGGAGATTTAATTATCTTTTTGTTAGATTATACCTATACTCCTCTTTTAAGGATGCAGATGATTACATGAGGTTATTTCTACAGCTGATTTTTCTGCTGTCTCTAAAGCTCTTATCTTTTGATATATTGTCAAATTATTTCTACAAATCTTATTTGTTATAGACATTTAAAAACCTTTAAAAGAAAAATATTGAAATATCATTTATGAAATTCACTTTTTTTTATAGCTCTCTATGCATGTTCTCTTACACACTTCCTTTTCATTTTCTGAATCCGAATTTGTAAAAAAATATTTTAATGAACTTTTATTTACATATAATATAATATAACAGCATATAATATCGTTATAATTATCTTAGAAGCATTAAGTTAAAAATAAATTTAACTATAAAGAAAACATAACAAAAACATTATAAATTTATCTGATAATTTCAAAATTAAAACATCTTGATTTTGTATAAGGATTAAAATATTATTTAAATATTTAAAGATATTGTACTGATCGTTTTAAACATACACTTAAAAGAATTGATACATTCCATTTCTTTAGAAACTACTAAAGATATAGTATGTAAAAAAATAAAAATTAATTAATTTCTTTACAGGTTAAAATTGTAAATTAGTTGATCGAAGTACCTGTATACTTCTAACTCAAATTTATTTGACATAAATTTTTTTATATAAAAGGTCGAAAGTTAAAAAGCTTTGTGGGACCATGGCTGCTTTTACTTTGAAGGTTGGCCTTTATCTTTAAAAAACAAAACATTTATACATAATCGATCTATCTATCTATTTTGATAAAAAAAAACATTTGTACGTAATCCATTAGAAATCGAAATGCCACTTTTCCATCAAATTTTGCCTTCAACTTAAGTGTTGTCATTATATTTTAAAAGGAAAAACAAAATATATTTTTGGATAAGAGCATGATGAAAAAGAGCATCTTGAAGAGTGAAAAAACAGAGGAGAAAAACAGAGAATAGATAAAACAATGTACATTTGATAAAAAAGAAAATAAAATCTCTCCATGATTTGCTCGAACGAATCATGTGGATTCCCTGTTAATAATAAGTCATTGACTTGCAAGAATCAGAAAGTGAAATCGGCACCATGAAGAAGGGGCACTGATCCAGAGCTATCAAACACCTACACATATCGCTCTTTACATTGACAGCATCCACCAAAACAATCATGACGGAGTTGAATCCTTCAAGAGGTGTCATGATGAAGTTATATTGCAGGCGGAAGATTTAGACTTGTCAAGAATTGACCACATAACTTGAACATCTTCATAGCCACATGCCATGACTTCACCGTGAAGATCCATAATCCGCTTCTCTTGCTCTGCAGAATCACACAAAAGGAAAACATGAATGATTTAATATAAGACAGTGACGAGGGAAAAGAGAGAAAAACTTAGAAAGAAACCTGTTTGGGACTTCTTAGGGTCTCTGGGGGGTTGCTGGTTGAAGAAAGTGCAAGCCTTTTTGAAAGGGGTGGCAATGGTTTTCTTCCATGAGGCCATTGGTGTTGAACTATTGGGTTGGTCTAAGGTGTTCTTGGCCTTATATAGTAGTGGTGTGAATGTGGAAGAATATTATAGAATGAGAAATTGACAGAGGCACACAAAGAGAAAGAGAAAGAGAGAGAGATAGGAGCAAGATCCGTGAGATGAGGGTATAGATGGAAGGAAAATCACTCTTTTTATTCAATTCTCTTATCTCATCAAACAAAAAGCTCGCCCGACTGTACCCAACCCATGCTGCACGCTTCCTCACGCACCTTGCTTACACGTGAATTCTTTTTTCCACTCCATTCTATTCTTTCTTTTTTCTTTTTTACTATCTAAGCTACACAATTTTTCTATAAAGTTAAAATGCGCAATTAATACTTTCTTAAAAAAACATTACATCTTTATTTTTTTTTAGCAATATTTACAAGACATGAGAATAATAATATTTGACATAAAGGGCATGTAATTAACATAAATTGACTTGGGTTGATAGAAAAATACGGTGACCTGATAAAAAAATATAATGTCTCTCGCAGGTCTGATGAAAAAAATTATCTTGTTTAAAAAATGGAGAACTATGACTCCAACATACTTAATAAAAGTTAAAATACGAAATCAAACTAGTAAACGTTCATGGTAACTACTTCAACATCAAAATGACATAATGTCCTTTTACGCTTTTGTAACGAGATGAATATACCGAATTAATGGAAGATATCGTTTATATATGATATATAATAAAAAATGTGTTTCAATTGCACTTTGTTCTCTATAGTTTGCGTGTGCTAATTAAGGATTAATTTTTATGTTGAAAGTTAGAATTGATCAACTGTGTTATATTAAAGATTATTATAGAGAATATTTTTTTTTTAATATTTAAAGATGAAATTTTCTTCATCTTAAGACTAAGTTATCACATTTTGAAAAACAAAGAAGGAAGTCATTGCATCCCAAATTCTGTTGTTTGATGTTTTTTAACTATAACCCACACGTATTCGAAATAATTTGAAATTATTGATTAAGCAATCTAAAATGGTTGATATACTAGAGTCACTCGCTTAATGGTGGGATCTCTATTTATTATTATATTAAAACAAAAAGAGGAGAACAAATGTATTCTTTCTTTGCCCTAGTGGAAGGAGTGTCCTGATTTCGTGAATGTCCCCCATTGCTTTGTTGCAACATATCTTTGTTTTTTCCATTTTCTCTTTGGAATAATTCAGACACTCTGGGTGCAGAATTTTCATGTTCACTTACTTACCCCTTAAGACCTTCCAATCTCCTTGGTTCATACGCACCACCCTGATTACTTTGTAGCATACGTTTGTGTCTTTACACTCTCTCTGGGCTATCAGAATAAGCAGGTGTGTGGTAAGAAGTTAGAAAACTTTTACTGTCACTAATAAGATAATAATATAATTACAAAATCTATAAACCATATTTTTTTTAATAGTTAAGATGAAATAATATATAATAAATACCTCTCCCTGACCCTCCCCCCTCCCCCCTCCTCTCCCTCCCTACTCCCTCTTTTTCTTTTTTTACGTTGTTTTAGAGGTGTTTGGGGGTGTTTGATGGTTGTTTTATGAATTGGGGGTGAAGCATCCCGATTTGAATGAAGACGGGCATGTTGATCTAAAAGTTTGAGGCGTTTGGTGATAAAGAAGTTGGTAATTGGACAAGGTTTAGTAGTTCCCCATTTCATGGCATGTGATGTCCACATGCTTTAGTGGGGGAATGGGAACATGGAAGACTGAACTTAGGGTATCCAAAACAAAAACCAACCCTTGTGTTGTGGGGTTCTCTAATAATAACTAAGACCTTCGTTTTCAAACCCATCTTACTTTGACGTAAAAACATGCCCATATTTTAACTTTGGAATTGAATGGTCTACGTATACATATACTCAGTTTTAGAATAATCAAAAAATAGATGGGTGGGACATGACATTCCCTTACATTTTCGGGACCATTCAGCCTTTCAAATGTCATTAAGAAAACACATTATCATTTCAGAGTAAGATACTGTCTCGATTACTATGATAGGCTATTTTCAAACAAAAAATTATGTTGGAATTTAATTACAGAGGTAAGGAATACAATTAAGCGCCAAATCAATACTTAATTTAAATTTATTCCTAAACTACCCATTTTACCTCCTCACATTAATTCAATTAAAGAGTTCCAAATAGTTGACAAATTGTATAAGCTAAGATTTAGATCTCATTAGATATGTATAAATCATTTTGTTAAAAATGAGGTGAGATTTATATATCTATAATAGTAGGATAATCGATAGATATATATATATTCTATCTATATATATGGATTAAACTTAAGTAGGAGCTAAATTTATAGATAATCCCCAACATATATATGATCCCAAAAAATCTGGTTAGATAGATTTTCAATGAATTTTATATAATATTCAGAGTAAATTTTTGATCTTTCAATCTTATAAAATTGAATGTTAAAACAAAATTGATATATATTATAATATATATTATATATATAATAATTGTCGTTGATGATTTTCTTTTATGTGTGGGGGTTTTGTTGTAGTGACCTTTTTTTTGCTTTGATGAAAATTTATTCGACTAATGTTCGGATAACTTGATGTAACGTGAAATGTTGAATGCACTGATTTTGGCCAAAGATTGATGTTGATATGTTCATTCGAGATAACGGATTTGAATTTTGGTAGTTAAAAACGTGTGTGCTTCTAGTTCAACAATATCTTCTTAAAAATTTCGAAGGTGAAGCCAAACATTATGTTCATAGTTGAGAAGGATAAGAAAACACTGATAGGACATGACAACTCTCTTATGTTGTGGTAATAAATTATTTCGTGCACTAAAAGGTTGAGATTTTCTTGTGATGTAGTATATTATATCCAACTAGTGTAGTGTAACTAAAGAGAGAATTAGGTTAGAAAATTGGACCAACTTTCTTTCTTTTCACTACTCTATTTTGATTACAATTATTGTTGTCATTGTTATCCTTGTCATCATTATTGATGGATAAACTTTAGTTGATATTTTGTATTTATAGGTTTCCAAGACCCTAACATTAGATAGTATCAAGTTTTAAAAGAGTTGTCCAACTCTGTGATTTATTGACAAATGCATCAAGTTAGTTGCAGTACAGTTGGATGAGTTATCACATCCACATGGATTTAGTAAGTATATTAGTAGCTAGTTTTTGGATTTTGTATTTGGAAAACATTGGTAGTATATATTATATCGATTGAGTGGAGTAGAGACTATGATTGAATTTCATCTCATCTTCTACTATGTCACTACTATATGGTTTACTTAATATGCAAATCATTTAATGTCCTGAGAATACTCTAAGGTAGATCTAGACTCATTTTGCTAGTGTGATTTCTCCACTCAGTTGAATGAATCCTTGTCTTAAGTGTATGACTCTTTTATCCAACCCACCCTCTAAACCATGTGAAAAAGTCATTAGTAATAATGAGATGATTTGATTGGACCACAATTTAAGATCAGTCTTCCAACTCAATCAAAACCAGTAAAATAAGATGGGTGATCAAGTCATCCAAGTAATAAATACAAATCAAACTACAAACTATTGAATGAAAGCATAAATGAATATCCAAAAAGTAGAAGTACAACGAATTAGAACTGATTACATCCAACCTAGACACGAGAGAGTTCAACTACTCATAGAATATTGCAATACAATTTCAACAGCATCTACACATAGAATTTACAATAAGAGCATCTCTCTCTAGCCTCACAGACTCATTCCCACTCTACTAGTACATATTTTATCCTCCACTCAATGCTTAAAATAAGGACATAAGATATTTATTTATAGAAACCCAACTTGTCTTTTTTGCCTCTATGGTTGAACACCACTTTCTTGTGACTCAACCATAGAGGGTACAAGTCCTAATTAGTAAGACGGTTTATCAATGAGATATTATTTTCTTGATGCAACATGACTTTTAATTGTTTAGCAACATAAAATAGCTACGTATATAGTAAAAATAGAAGAACTTCATTGATTAATTTTAGGTGTTGTGGTTTGGTGGTAGGAATGAGTTCACAAATTTGACTATGTGTTTGGTTGTATCTTAGCTCCAACTAAAAATAGAGGTGTTGGTTTATAAGCACAACAATGGATCAAAATTGGATAAATTTTTTACACACAATAAATGAGAATGAGTGTGATTTTTTACATCAATGTTCACTATGTCGGTTATCATGATTATACAAAATTTATTAGAGACTGTTGAGAATAAAGGTGAATAGGTGCAAAAGTATTTATTAGAGACAGTTGAAATATAGAAAAAAAAAGCTAGTGTACTTAACACCTTATTTACAATAGTTTGTTTTTTTTAATTAAATTATATTTATGTAACACTTGTTATATTTAATATTGTTTGAATTTGCAATGATCACTAGCAGTTGGTAATTCTTGCTCAGTAGTCTCTTGTGGTTCTTGTGTGTTCATTACATAAGAAACCTAACACTTCGGCAGTTAAAAGTACACTAATAGTGTAAGGTTTTAAATAATTTATTTGTTGTGTTATATAATTTAATTTTATTAAGTTCCATACTAGACACAAATTTCAATGTACAATTATTTTACAAAGTGTTTAAGACTTATTTGAGGTTGCAAGAACACATATTGTCTCTAGAAAGAAGTTTGAATTCTTTGCGTCAGTTATAACTAGTTAATCTTTCGGACTATTGAAATACAATTGTAAAGTTTATGATATTCTATGAATTTTACTTGTAGTGCAGATATTATGTGTTGAAACACATGCAAAAGATCATATCCATAAACCTTGTTGACTCATGAAATTTGATAATGTGTATAATTTATAACTAATATCTTAAGTGTTTATCACTATAAGTTGACTCAAACCGTTTGTATAAATTTTTTATGATTCATCTCATTGGAATTAGGGGTTCTAAAGGAAGTTCATTCTTTAGTGTTTATAGTAAATGATGTTAAATGATTTTATGAGATTAGAATTCTATTATTTATTATGTAATTATCAAAACATTGAATAATGAAGTGTTTATTATGTAATTAT